GCCCGCTCAGCTCCCAGCTTGCCTTCTCTCCGGGCCCCCTAAGGACGCTGAAGTGTTTTTACTCCTCTTCTGCCAGGTGGGCTTAAATAGGCAATCACAGCAAGACAATTAAAAAAAATCCAGAGGGAGTCTCCCTCCTCTTCCCTCCGTCTCCTCAGTTAATTTATTTCCTTTAGAGGAGGCCTTGGGGAGAGGAATCTAGGCAGTGCCTGCTCAGACAGGACTTTCCAGTGGATTCTCTGTGCGGAAGCAGGGGCAGGTCGTGTCTCCCCATCTCTGCGGGTTCTGCGCAGCCGTCACGCCTCCTTGCCCCTGCAGGTTCTGGGGGAGGCCCGCCGCGTGCCGTGTGTTCCTCTACCTGCTTGCTGACTTTTGTTTCCTGGTCTAGGGGAATTTCCTTTTGGTTGAAGGTCCATGCTGTGCCATGATCACCTGAGCCTGTGCAGGGACAGCCTCAGCATCAAACGTTGCCACAACTTCCATCAGAGAAACCAGGAGGCTAGACAGGTTCACGAAAATTCTAATCATTCTCACTGTCACCAAAATAATAAGTCTTCCAAGCACTGCTCTTCCTACCCTGCACCTCCTCACTTAAAATGCTTAGAAATGTCAGCCAGAAACCCCAGCCTGTGATGCCAATCACATTTCTGACTGAGAGGATTTTATTCAGTAGCCCTCCCTGGCTGCCAGCTCATTGTGAATGGCCAAAACCTGGGGGTTGGGCTTTCCTGATGTAAGGGCTCCTTCCCTCCCCACTCCCTCGGGATAGTTGGACCCCATGATGCGGCCCCCTCCCAGATCTGACACCTGCCACCATCTCTCTGGCCTTTTACTCAGTCCATTAACAAACAGCTATTGAGCTCCCACCCGTGGTCATCAGCCCCTGCCTTCTGTGTCCTGATGAAATTAGTCTCTTGTTAGATTTGGGAAAGAGCCCAGGGTTTGGGGTTTGAAAGACTCTTGGCTGTGCCACTTACTGGCTTGTGATTTCTGGGGGATCCACTTAATGCTTCTGGGCACAGAACCAGTACCACCCCCTCCCATCAAGGTTGGGAGAGTCACATGAGATGGTGAACATGAAAGGCCCGTATAAATAAGGTATACATGCCTGTGGCTGCTGTCATCCTTAGAGGTGGATTCCCGTGGATTGTTGTGCATGCAGCGGTCCCTGCACTTTGCCTTTCCTGCTGCCCTGGCAAGTGGGCCTCACGCTGGCCCAGAGGTGCCCTGCTATTAGTACCCAAGCCTGAGCGAAGCTTGAGCAGCCTTGCCCAGATCGAGGCATCTGGATGGAGTAGCCTGGGGCCCTTCTACCCTCCTGCCCTGCCTCGCCACCATGGTGCCCACTGCCTCCCTTCCCAATGCAAACCTTTCTGCTTAGTCCCTTCTGCCCATGACCTCAGCAGCCTGCAGTCCCCACCCAGTTTGGGCTGCCCAGCCAAGTGTGATGCCACTTGTTCCTTCCAGTGCAGCTAACGACCAGCTGCCTCTTCCTCCTACATCTAGCCCTTGGAACCCCAGATTTTCAGCTAGGCTCTAAACTCTTCTCTCCAGACCACAGGTCTCCTGGGACAGCAGGGCCCAGCCAGTCCCCTGCTTACCCTCAAGACCTGGGCTCTCTGGGGCCCCACCTGAAGGCAAACTGCAGCCTTCCATCCTGTGCCTGAGTCCCCATGCCCAGGCACAGACCTCAGGGCCGGACACCTGCCTCTTTCCTCCCCACTCCCTAGTAGCCTGGCAAGGCCTGAATGGACCAGGCTCCCAGGCCGGCGGGACTCAGCCACCCCCACCCTTGGGCCCCACGCTCCCTTAACCTGCCCTCGCTTTCTCCTCTGGTTGGCTTAGAGGTCAATACAGTGAACATATGTATAACAGGAGGGATCTAAATGAGACAAAGTGGGGGAAAGGGAGAGACGAGAAGACAGCCCCGATGCTCCTTGGGTGCTCTGCCAGTACAGTCCTTCAGCTACTCCCAGAACGTTCTCAACCCCTTTGGGACTCACTGTCCCATGTCTGGAAAAATCTTCCAGCTGGTCATGGCGGAGTCACAGAGCAGCTGAGAAAATTTAAACAAACATGGGGCTTCTTTTTGGAATCTTTGGTGCTTGCTCACGTGAGGATGTGTGTTGGAGAATGAGAATATTAAAACATCAAAGGACATCACTTTTGGACAGTTTCTCTTGGCTGGTTTCCATGTGGGTAGAGAAAGGACTGGGGACAAGGAGATGATGGGACAGAGGAGTGTACAAGGGTTACGCATATGCAATCAGGTTTCTCCCAATATTTCATTGCTGCTGATGCTTTGGAGGCTCTTCGTTCCAATGCTGTTTCCTTTTCCTGAGAAATTTATTTCTGTCTCTGGCTTCAGTCTGGCCCCCTGGGGAGGATCAAGCCGGGAAAGCTGTCAGCACCATCCACCTTTTCTGAGGGTCTCTGTCTTCCTCCACTGCACCCCCAGCATTCTCACTTCTCCTTTGGTCTTCCCCTTTTTCTGGTTCATTACGCATTTGGGAAAGTTGTGTTTTTGTCTTGCCATTGAGTGCCAGTTCCTTCTGTGTGATCAAGTGTTACCATGTAGTTTTGGACTTTGGCCACTTCCAAATTCCCCACCTACTTCTCCCATACAGAGGCTGTGATTTTTTTTCTTCTTCTTAATTCATTTGCATTTGTGCTTGACTGTAGCAGGCTGTAGCGAGTGGTGCTGTGGCCCATGTTGGGGTCACCTTTGGACAGCTCTGGCCAAGCCCACAGCTTCCTTAGCCTCTCTACCTGCAGACATTCTCGGGAATGGGCCCTGGGGAATGAATGATTCAGGAGTGACTTTCAGTTTATGAGGATAAATGTCCCACGTTCCTTGCCCTTGGTGGGTGAATCTGAGGTGTGTTTTACATAGTATCTCAGGGCCCCTGTTGGGATTGAGCCCTAGTTGCCCCAGTGGTAACATGCTCTTCAGTGCATTCATTCACTGGTATCATCTCCATCTCCTCCCTGTTTTCCATTCCTACTCCTTCCCTCTTTCCTGGGGTCTCTTCCCAAATAAACTACTTGCACAGGAAAGCTTGCAGGGTCTGCTTTAGAAGGAATCCAAATAAACCCAGGAACTCACTAAAACCTTGCTTATCCTCTTGCCCTCAGTAGCTGCAGCTTTTAATTGAACCCGTGACACCCAGGACTGGAAAACACCCGATCATCCAGTTCACCTCCTGCCCACCCCAGCCCCAATTTATGGCTGGATTCCCTCCATTACGAACCTCCTCTGTGTCGCTCCATTTCTACAGTTTGTATTTTGAACTCACAAACTAGTCTAGTGATTGCCAGCTCCATACACCAATACCTAATTTCTGGTGTGGAAGTACTTCCGGCCTGGGGATGGCTTCCTGAGTAAGCAGGAGGGCTGAGAAAAGCAACTTGGGATGGGAGGATGAACAGGCTAGAACTGGTGTTGAAAATCCAGGTGCCACTTCCAAAGATGGGCACCTTCCTTTCCTAGTTGTTCTACTGGATGGAAACCCTAAAATGACTGCTGTTTGTTCAGGTATTGCTGATGACAAAGTAATATGGCCCAGCGTTGTCCCTAGAGATCTCTGCTGGTGTTCGCTCAGATGGGGCTGTGAGAAGACTTTGTGACCTATGTGAGATAATTTTAGATGTTAGATGAACGTATTTGGTGTTAATGTGCTTTATCGTCACCCCTTGTTTTTGGCAAGTGGTAGTGGACTGCCGTCACAGTCATGAAACAAAGTTTCCTTTAAAAAAAAAAAAAAAAAAAGTATTTGTTTAAATAAAGGAAAGTGAGTCCATTAAAAAAAATCAACTAGTACTTGGATACCACAAAACATTGTGAGATATTGAAATCTGACAAACAGCATCAGAGAGTGTGGGTTCAGGTGTCTCATGCAGGGAGCATGAATGTGCTTTGTCCTTCTTGCTAATGTCAACCATTGTTTATGACCTTTAAATTCTTGTTTCAAAGAAGGGTGGGGATTTTCTTATGATTTAACAAGATATTTTTGGAAACCAAAGCATATTCCTGACTAGCCTGTGTAAGCAAGACTTTTTAAGCTGGGTCAACTGATTGCTTGACTAAATGAGGAGCACAAAAATAGACTCTCAGACTTAGATTGAAATTCCAGGTATTTGCTTCTGGAGGCTGCTACTGCTAACCCATGCCCAGCCGCACGTAGGCAGGCGCGGCTCAGCTGCTGGGTGGCAGTGACTATTGATTGCTGAAGAACTGAGCTATAAATGAAGGAACCGAAAGCTCAGCGCCTCATCCCCAGTGCCTTCTTGGCTGTTTGGACCGACCTGCCACTCCAGGCAGGAACTCTTATTTACGGGAACATATTTATTTTTACATATCAATGATGTATTTTTGATGTACTTGATTAAGTATTATGGGTTCAGCCCCAGGAAACACTACTGCAGTTTATAAATAGTGAGTTCAGGAGTGTACAAGGTTCCTGGAATTAGAGCAGTATTTTTGTTTTTATGTGTCTCTGTACATTTACTTTTTCAAAGACCACTCTCTCCCAAATATGTCTGCTTTTATTTCTGAAACACATCTTTGTATGACTTTCTAGAACCATCTGCTGTGTTCTTTTCTCAAACACCTAGCTGTGCACAGTAATCCCAGATAACAGCTATTCATTATATTCCAGATTAAAAACCTAAGTCCCCCATCAGAAGCCCAACCTTTCAGGTCCATGTTACTTTAAGCCAGCCTCAACTTACTACTTGGAATGAGACTTTATTATCTGGCAGCAATACAGCCTCACAGAGATTTCAGTGTTCATCATATCATTTATTCAGGCTCCTGAGAGGTTCCACTAAACCCGATGAAGCAGATTTTTATCATCAGTTGACCTCTTCTCTCTCCACTGCCTTTACAAATCCCAACAGAAATGGAGATCTTCACCCTTTTCAACAAACCGAAAAGCCATCAGAAGTGCCGGCAATACTACCCTGTCACCATTCCTCTCCGTGTCTCCAAGAATGGCCAGACAGTGAACGGCTTGGACGCCAACTGGTTAGAGCACATGAGCGACCACTTCCGGAAAGGAGGCGTGCTGGTGAATGCCGTCTTCTACCTTGGAACGGTGAACGGTATGTTTGGAATTCACAGTCCTCGGTGGCCCTTTGTGAACTTCGCTTCTAACTCTTGAAATCTTAGTCCCTCTTCAGAGCCTGCTTCACTCAGAAAGCTCTGCAGCCGATAACTGTGCTGCATTTTATTTCTAATTAACACATCTTGAGGAACTTTCCATAAAGCCCAGGGCCTGTGCTCTCTAAACCTCTCTAGGAGTCAGCCAGGTATCTTCTGAAATGACAGAGAAAGTGGAGTGATTCTATTTCATGGAAGGTGGCCTCAGTCTCTGTTGCTTTTAAAGGCTTTTAAAAAGATTGTTCCCTGGATTTGTTAATTACCCCCTGGGATTGTGCCATTCCAAAGTGCAAATTGTTTGTAGACACTATTACAGTTGAAGTAGCAGTAGCAGCACCTTGAAATTAACAGCAGAGAAATAAATTGAACAGCCTGGTTTCTGTAAGCTTCACTGAGACACACACTGTTCCCAGGTCTCCCAGCACCCGGTACGCCCTCCCCAGTAATGTGTTGTCTCTAGTGGTTTGCTGCATGGGATAGCACTATTGATGTCAGCTCTCCTAAGGCAGAAAGTCTGCCCACAGTGGGAAAATGTGTCAAACAAAGAAAGGGCTTTGGGTTAACGAGAAGGCAAGTTGAGTCACCAGGGTGTGTCAAATCCGGGAGGCAATTTGGGGAGTGGGACCAACGTGCCAGCACGTGCGTATCCTGAGGGCTGCCAGTCAGCAGGATTCCTAAGTGAAACCTAACATCAAATTTGTCAATCCCAGCAAAACCTGGCAGGGGGCGTCAACAGTACCGTGTGTTGTTGTTGAGCCGTTTTCTCTCAAGCATTAGCAGAGTCATGAACAGAGTTTGGATTCTACAGTGTTTGCAGTCCTTGAAATGCCAGCAAGCATCCTGAGAATGAGACCATTCTGAATTCTAAATGAATGTACTTTAAATCATCCAAAGCCTTAGAACATGATAGAGAACAGACAGGTCTTAATTTTGCATGCAAGTCTCTAAGTATCATTGTCTAATGTTGACATGTTATCATAGTAGCAGCAGGCGTTGTATAGTGTAATGGTCCATAACCATTTGTTGAATGCATGAATGACACCAGAAAGGTGATTGGCTTGTTAAGAATACATCCAGAGCAGGGCTGTCCAATAGAAGTGCCCGTGATGATGGAGGTGTTTGTTCTGTATCTGGGTTGTCCAGTATGGCGGCCACCAGCTGCCTGCGGCTACTAAGCACTTGAAATGTGGATACTGCGGCTGAATAATTGAGTTTTAAAATTCATTTAACTTTCATTAATTTAAGTTTACATAACTCTATGTGGCTAGTGGCTAGGGTCACTGGTCAGTGTGCACTTGGTCAGTGCAGTTCTAGAATATCATGTCTTTAATACAACTAATGTAGGGTTACTTCTGTGCCCTAGTGGCAAGGTGGGTAACCTCTCTCTACACAAGGAAGCCCTCCATGGGTACCTGCAAAGTTCCCCAAAGCCAGGGGTTGTCACAGTCTGGTTTGAGATGCATCATAAAACACCAGTCGCAGTACATGCTTGGGGCCAACTTGGGACAGATGTTTACAGCCTGACTTACCAGTGTTAGGGGAGGCCAGGGAGGAACCTTTGGCTCCCTGTTTCCTGCAGGGACACCCCATTGCCTGTCTTGGGTTGTGGCAACAGTGGCTCCTTTCATCCCCTCTTGGTGCCCATAGATGCTCTCTGTGGCCGTGCATAGTTTTACATTCCTCCCTAGGAAACTGATGGTTAGTTGTTGAAGGTGTATAGGGAGGTGCTGGAGATAGTGGATACCCAAGTGACCACTTGGAATTTCTTCCCCTCTTAGGAAAACTAGGGCATCAAAAGGAAGGTTTTCTCTTTGACCCCACTGCCTGAGCATGTCAGGGGCCCTAAGACCCCCAAGAAAGAACACCTGGAACGTTCACAAACCCATTTACTGTTCCTCTACCATCATGGTTTGGCGATCAGGGCTGAGTTAGCCCCCTCTACTCCCCGTCACCCCACTCTTCAACCTGGAGTCCAGAAACGCAGACAACTTAGACAGCTTTTTCTTCAGATTTGACTTGAGTGTTTGAAATACTGTTGTAGCCTCCCTTGGCTTTAACCGCATTAAATTCATTCTTCCTGTCCTGAAGACAGAACATGAAATTTCCCCTGGCAAGCGCAACTATGAAGTCCTCCACAGGGCCCAGGCATCTTCCTGTATGCAGCCCATATCTTAAAGCTCCACCATAGCTGTTTGTATCTATGTCAGGGAGGGCTGCAAAATTCTCAGAACAAAATGAATTGAAACCCACTCTGATTTTAAACACAATTTCACCGTTTATATGTCTTTTGGGAGGGAGAGTGTGACTGGGAGTAATGCTTACTGGGTTAGGGTGTTTCTGCTCTGGAAAAGTTCAAGGTTTCCGTTGGCCAGGGATGAAATACGTGTGTGTTCTTTTCCCAGAATTAAGAAAAAAAATGGCAAGCTAATCATAATCATAAGAGGAACCTATTTCTAATGAGATAATTAGTGTCCTTACAAATAAATCTGGCAGAGCTAGAAGCACATCTTTAAGCTGTTTGCCATCTGGAAAGGCACCAGTCATGACTCCTAAATAGAAATTTATATTCCAAAGTATTTTCCACAGAGTCATAAAGCTCATGAGAACTTTGTCCCATAAACAAGGTGATGTTTCAGCCCAAATTACCCAGTGCAGACTCCAGAGCTTCTGTTCTGGAGGCATTACTCCCCTCCCCATGCCTCCCACCCCAGGACATAGAAAGACTTGTACATTCCTCAAGTTTGGGCTCCTGCTCATGGTCTCCAGGACTCCTCTCCCTGGGTCATTCATTAAACCTTAGACTGACCAGGTGTCTTGGGCTGGGGGAGGCTCTGCCCGTGAGCTCTGGCAAGCTTAGGGCACAGAGGAGGGGCGTAGTGACGACCGTGGACACCTAGCGGGTGCTCTGTGTGGGTGCTGGGCTCAGCAATTCAAACTTAGCATTGACTTCATCCTCGCAATACCTCAGTGAAGTAGGTACTGTTGTTATGCCTATGTTATAGCTGTGGAAACTGAGGCACAGAGACATTATGTCATTGTCAAGGTTACTGGCTAGTAAGAGCAAGAAGGTGACAGAAGAAAGAAGGGAGTAGGCAGATAAAAGGACCATGAGGTGGGCGGGATAGAAGAGGAAAGACGTGGCTATGCTGACAGGAGTTGTGGCCCCCAGCTGGACTTTGGCGGCTCTCCTGGTGGGGAGAGGAGGACTCCAGGGTCACTCTAGGGAGGTGGCAGGACCCGATGGAAGCAAGAATGAGTCCAGGGGCCACACAGCAGAGCAGCCAGGCACTCAGGAACATGTCGGCCAGTGAGATGAAAGCCAGGCTCTCTATTTCTAGAGGATGGGAAAGACTAGGAGGAGAGACCCCAAGCTGAGCTGGCTGTTGTGGAGGAGTTAGGTGGGAGTCAGGAGTTCGGGATAAGATTGAGGCTGCCCAACCCTGAAGACCCAGTGAGGAGGCTGATTTTTCACAAGGCTTCTGGGCCTGCAGAATTGCTGCTGCCATCACCAGCCACTGAGGCTGCTGCTGCTGCCACCATCTCGCTTGCCCTGCCTTGCCTAGCATTGCTCTTGTTCTGTCCTATCCCCTGCCCCCAACTACCCTCTTTGCCCTGCCTTCCCTGCCCCACCCCCCTGCCCACTCCTGCTCCTTGTTCCTCATACCCTTGGCCTGTCCTTGCCCTTTCCTACCCTGGCAGTCCTCCATCTCTTTGTTTCAGAAATGGCCTTTGCAGCTGATTATCCAAACCAGAATCTTCTCCAGCAACAGTCAGTGTTTGCGGTGACTGTATCCTCACTTCTCTTTTTGCCTAGAAGAGCTTTTTTCTTTCCCTGACTGCTTGAAAGGAACCTAGCCTCTCATTCTGCAGAATGGCCTGCATGATGGCTTCATCTGATCAGCGCTCATGGTGTCACTGATCTTATTTCTCCAACCTCTATTTCTCGTAACCTGGAAGTTAGTTCTAAGGCCTTGATAAATTAAGAATTATGACAAGAATCTATTCCAGGCAATGTGTTCTCCATGCTGCATCACATAGGGGTCACATGACACCCAGATGTCTCTCTGTTCCCACCTTTTTAAAAGATTAGGTCTCCCTTGAGACTTTCTCCGGTGCCCCAGCTGCATCTAAATCCAAGTTAACACTTGGTATTTATACCACCTTTTTTGACACCTAGCGTATCCTCCATAACCATATATTTGCAAGATACATATGTAAACCACATGTACATGGTTTAAATAAATATGTATTAAATATGTGGGGTGTACATTTTATATAGACATATTCACAACCAACCCCCCAGGCAGGTCCTACTTTTTGTACTTTCTTAACACCACGGTGCCTGTATTCAGAAGGTGACTAATGATAATTCTGGATGATGCTCAACAATGTCAGTGGTGATGAGGGGAAAAGCTGATATTGGAGTGTTTCACCAGGAACAGCAGGTTTTGGGGTGGGACTGGTAAAAGAGGGAGAATGAAGTAGTAGCAGGTGTTTCTGATAGCCACTCCCTTGGGACACCACCCGTCTCCAGGAATGTCTGGCCTAGTGGTTACAGGCAGGCCTTCTACTTCAAAGAAGCCACTTAATAATGTAGGGGCTAAATTGCACATATGCCATTAAATGCATTTTCTCATGTGTCCATAGGACACTTTTAAAAAACTTTTATTGCAGTTTAGCACACACGTAAAAAATTGTACAGATCATAGGATATAGCTCAGTGGCTTTTCACATGGTGAACACATCCATGTCACCAGCACATAGATCAAGAAATAGAACAGATCAAGCCCCTAGAAGCCCCTGCATGTCCCGCACTGTTTCTATCCCCCCGGGGTAAGCACAGTCCCTACTTGAAACACTATTGATGAGTTTTGAACTGTATACAAACTTTATACACTTGTCGTTGTGGAATTCGTCCACATTTTTACATGTAATTGCAGACCATTTTCTCTCATTGCTGTCTGCTATTCCATTGTGTCAGATACACAGCTATATATATAACTTAGCCATTTACAAGCAAATTTTTATTCTTTTTTTTTTTTTTTGCCCCATATAGGACAGCATGGCATCTGTACAGATGTAGCCCCAAACAGAAGCCCTAAGCCCATCTCATTGTGCCCTGACTGAAATCTCATCCTAACCACCAAGGCAGAGAGAGTATGGTGCAGTGGTCAGAAAACACCAGCTCTGCAAGGGTAGAAACGTAGCCTGTTTAGCACCTGCCCCCAGCTCCTCAAACAGGGTCTGCCTCATCATAGTAGTAGCTCAGTAAATGTCTATTGTTGAAAACGGGTAGGTTTTAGGATCAAACAAATCACATTTCAGATCTGGTTTGACCCTTGTATTCCATATGAACATGGACTAATCATTTAACTCAGTTGTCTACCCACTAAAAGGGAATGACATCTCTTACAGAATTTTGGGGAGGATTCAATGAAAAGCCTTGAGTGCACCTGGCAGAGTGCCTCCCATCCAGCTAACACTGAATCAGAATGTTTCTTCCCTATCTGGTCAGTTAAATGGTGCTACAACTTGCAAGCTAACCCTTTTCCAGCTGAAGAGGAGTAATATCTTTTCTAGATTATTCAGTGCCTCAAATTGAGAATGTAGAAAGGCAGGCAGACCCAGAGCAGCAGTGAGTGTTCAAGAAGCAAGAGAAGGCAGCAGCCTTGCTCATTCTTTGGTTAATAGAGCAACTTAGCTGCAGGGTGATTGGGAAGCAACATGGCACCATTACCTGGGATTGGTTGAGCAGTGATTACATTTGCCATGGGATCACATGTCATATGACTGCATGTGCAATTGTGCTTATGCAGTTGGCCAGTGCCAATCCTGGAATCAAGGTGGTGCCAAGAGCACTGCAGCCTCTGATCGAGAGAAGGCGCCCTCAGAGAGCCAAGAGCATCTGTTATGCCAGCTACTCCAGGGTAGACAGTCTAGTCTAGTCTAGCTTGTTTAAAGGAGAATAGTAACACTTTGTTTTTAACCCTGCAAAAATAGACCAAATGCACTGACGGCTTGTCATGGCATGCACATTCAGGCTAGACTTTGGCAAAGCATAGCACCCTAGGGCTGAGCCTGAAGGTTAGCTTGATAGACAGAGTCTTAATGTCTCAGAGGCTGCAGAAGAGTGGTTGCCTCATAGAATTTACCTTTTCCCACATCCTTCTTGTAAGTCATAAGCTTGGAATATTAAGGTGGCCTTTTACCAAAAGACCAGCATCAAATATTTATACAGTACGAGGGCAGATAGCTTTTTGTGCACAGTAGGGAAGCATCTTCGCTTTAATAAAAAATGCAGTGATAATGGAATGTTTTCCATAGATGGAGGGCAGTTTAACCTTTTTACGTTGGAGCCTTCACTCTAAGATAGACCTATTTATACCCAACTCAGTGCACATTATAGTGAGGCTGAGCCATGAAGGTAATGAGGAGACAAGGAGTGGACAAGGCCGTCAAAACAAGAGACTCTTTAAAAGCCCAGCTGTCTGCTCTCTGTGGTTCATTGATTTTTTGCTGTTACAGATAACCAGATTTTGACAGCCATTCTGAACTTCAGCTTCATGGTTAAGTAGGTGAATCAGTGCTCTGGATTCAGAATACTGGAGGATTAGGCTAAGGTGGGGAGACTGGGAAGCAGGCAGTGGATGAGTGTGTTCTGGGTGGATCTGGGTGTGTTCCTCCTTCATGCCCCCAAGCTAGCTGTAGCTTTCCCTGCTGACTACACAGCCCCGTTCCCAGGCCTGACTCAGGAGGAAGGAGAGGAAGCCCAGCAGGGGATGGAGAAAAAGTCTGGATGGGCTGAGTGTCCCCTTCCCTCATCTGGACCTCAGCTCTGCCATGCTCGCCATGGGCAGGCTAAACACCATCAGATAATTTATGTTGAATTAGGCACTTAAATACTTAAAGCACGTGGCAGGCACTTTTAAAGGGCTTGGAGGTTTTCCATTGAGAAGATCTGTAGGTAGATGCTTTGGAAATTTGATATAACATATTTTTGTAGAAGTCTTGAGGAAATGTGTGCTGTGTTGATACAATCCTGATGGAATCATTGTCTTCTGGTCTCAAGCATGCCCAGGTCAGGATTTGGGAGGGCTTTACTCGAAGGGGTCTCTCAGGACTCCTGGAGTGTTACCCAGAACTTAAAAAGTGAGCTGGACTATGGTCCATACTCACCTTGGACCCCAAAATACCTGTGACATGATTTAGCTGTACAGCAGCTGTTTTTCCCTGATCACCTATGAAACATGTCTCTTAGGAGGCCATGGAATAAGCACACAGGAGAAACTTTTCAGCAAAGCAGATGAGAGAGGCAAGCTTAGCACCTGCCAAGGCGTTTGATAACAGACTCTCAGGATAGGAAACAAGAAGCTGGAGCGTGTTATTGGTTTACCCATAGGGCTCTTACTTGAAATGGAGAATTACCTTATGTTGGGATAATATCAGGATAAGGCTGCTGTGCTCTTTACCCTTACAGCCATGGTTTTGTTGAACCGGTTAGGCCTCCCTATTATCTGGAATAAGGACCCACGCTAAGCAAAGTACTGTGGTCTTGTTTTTAGGTCTAGGTTGGGCATTGTGTCAGTCAGCTATTGCTCCAATAATGCTGTGTAACAAACCACTTCAGAACTCATTGGCTTACAATGGTAACAATTTACTCTGGCAGATTTTGGGGTTGGCTGGAGTAGCTCTGTTGAGGCAGACCTGGTCTCAGCTGGGCTCCACTGGGGCAGCTCTGCTCCATTTGTCCTTCATCTCCCTAGAACCAACTGGCTAGCTGAGGCATGCCCTCTCAACGTAATGGCAAAGACACAAGAGGCCAAGCTCAACCACACATGTACTTTTTATGCCTCTGCTTGCATTACACCTGCTAATATCCCATTGGCCAAGCAAGTCAGATGAACAGAGCCCTAAGTGGCTGGCCTCCCCACCAGTCAATTTAGTCTTAACCGCCTTCTCTCCTGATTCTGCTGCTCACCTGGTCCTTGACTGTCCTTCATTTACTCTGCATGTCAGGCTGGCTGTCCCTTCCTCCTGGAACTCTCAAACCCTGCAGATCCATATTCCTTGCTTGCTTAGTTCACTTGAAGTGGGGAACCCTACCCTGATGCCTCTTTCAAAAATAGCCACCACCAGTGTGTCCACTTTCACTCTCCCCTTGGCCCACTTGGTATTTTTCTAGGATTTGTCACCTCTGACATGGTGTTATTGTCTTCCTCCTCCACTGCAAGGTAAGCTTCATGGAGGCAGGGACTTTGTCTTGCTGCTCGTGAGATCTCTAGTGACTACAGGACTACTTGGCACATAATAGATTCCCAGTAGGTGTCATAATGAATGGCTGGAAGGTTATTCAGGGTAAACTTGAACTCCAGTAACATGTCACTCACCCTTCTGAGGCCCTATCTTCCATTTTTAGACTCCTCTAAGGAAAGTTTTTCTATTTAGATTATACTAATATCATCTCCCCATAGTTTTAAAAAACTCTTTGATTCTAGTTATGCCTTCAAGAGCCTTGTAGACAGAAAAAGGACATTCTCTGTTATCTGTGTTGTCCATTTACTTGTGTTACACCTGATTTAACTTGTTAATAACCTCACAGAAAAGGAAGGACATAAAAGAAAACTCAAATTGTATGTAATTCCACCACCTATAACTGCTGCTAGCATTTTGTGTATTTCCTTAAAGTTTGTCTAAACCGTTTTAACATAAAAATCCATATTGAGCTCATGTGGCAGTTTTATATCCTAGTTTTTCTCCATAATATTGTATCTAAAGCATTTTTCTGAATCATTAAATTCCCATGATATTTTTAGGGACAGCCTAGTGTTATACAGAAATCTCCAAATTTAACTATTTTTCTATGGTTAAATCTTTGGATTGTTGAATATTTAGATTAAGTTTTTAAGTAATTTTATAAGTAATGCTTATAGATGGATATTTGATGGTGTTGGAGGTTATTACCTCACGATAGACAAGAAGGGTAAGCTTTCTGGGTGAAAGAGGATGGACTTTTTGTGGCAAGATCCTGCAAATTTGTTAAATTGCTTTCTAGAAAGACTGTACAGTTAAAATTCCCTTAAGCACTATAAACTTTCCCATATCACCACACCTTTACCAGCAGTGAGAATTTTCTTTTCAAAATTTGTCACCTTGCTAAATAAAAAAGAAGTTGAGGCCTGGAGCAGTGGCTTATGCCTGTAATCCCAGCACTTTGGGAGACCAAGGATCACTGGAGTTCAGCAGTCCGAGACCAGCCTCTACAATGGTGTGAGACCCCATCTCTACAAATAATAAAAACAGCTAGGGGTGGTGGCATGTGCCTGTGGTCCCAGCTACTGGGGAGGCTGTGGTGGGAGGATCACTTGAGCCCAGGAGGTTGAGGCTGCAGTGAGCCGTGATTGTGCCATGGCACTCCAGTCTAAGAGACAGAGTGAGACCCCATCTCAAACAAACAAACAAAAAAGAGATTGCAATTGTTTTTCAATGTTTACTGGCCATGGAAAGAGAGAGAGAATTAATTAATTGCTAGTTTATGTCCTTTGTCTCTAATGGTGTTTTAGTATTTTTAACTATCTGTAAAAGCTTTTTACATATAAAAATATTGAGCTTAGTCTTTATTTTTGTTATTGTTGTTGCAAATAATTTTCTCATGTTGATGACCTTTTGTTTATGGGGTCTGTTGGGAGCCAAAGCTAAATATTGTTATATATTCACATCTGTCAGTCTTTTTCTTTGTGAATCTAGAAAATACTGGGAGTTCCAGGAACTCCAGTGTGATTCAGGGGACTTTCTGAATTTGTCTCCCTTCCTCCCCATGGAGAAAAAAAAAAAAAAAAAGTCACATTATTATGGATTTGTCCTATTAAAAATTGTCCTTTTAAAAGAGCATATCATTGAAATGTGCTTTGTATGTGCATTTGTTTACTAGGACTGTCAAAAAAAAAACACCACACACCGGGTGGCTTAAACAGACACTTATTTTCTCTCAGTTCTGGAGGCTAGAAGTCCATGGTCAAGGTTCCAGCAACTTCAGTTTCTGGCTAGGGCTCTCTTCCTGGCTTGCAGACAGCCACCTTCCTGCTGGGTCCTCACGTGGCTTTTCCTCTTTACACGTGCCAGGTGAGGGAGAGAGAGGGCTCTGGTTTCTCTTCCTCTTCTAATAAGGACACCAGTTCTGTTAGACTAAGGCCCCATCCCACCCTAGTTAAAGGAGGACTAGGACCTCATTTAACCTTAATTACCTTCCTAAAGGCTCTGTCTCCAAATATAGTCACATTGTGGGTTAGGGCTTCAACATACGAATTTTGGGAGGGCACAATTCAGTCCATAATATTATGATTGAGCAGTGTTTATAGCATCAAATCTGGGAACCAAGAGAGATTGTCTGTCCATAATCCCACAGATGAGAGACCCAGCCCTTGAAAGAGTCACATCACCTTTCAGGATACAGCCCAGCCCCAAACCACTTGCTTCTAAGTCAGTCTTCTTTCCCCAAATCCCTTATCAAAATGGGCCTAGGACATTTATGAGCCATGTACCAAACAAAGGGGTAAAAGGTGCTTCCCTTAGTGTATTCTGTAAGGGCAAGGACTCTGTTCTGTATTTTTTTTTTTTTTTTTGGAGACAAGAGTCTCACTCTGTCTTCCAGGCTGAAGTACAGTGGTGCTATCTCAGCTCACTGCAACCTCTGCCTTCCAAGTAGCTGAGATTACAGGTGCACCCCACCACGCCCAGCTAATTTTTTGTATTTTAGTAGAGATAGGGTTTCACTGTGTTGCCCAGGCTGGTCTCGAACTCCTGAGGTCGGGGAATCTGCCTGCCTTGGCCCCCCAAAGTGCTGGGATTACAGGCATGAGCCACTGCGCCCAGCCTGTTCTATATTTCTTTTACCCTCGTTGCCTACGATAGTTTTTGATCATGCTATACATTTCATGTATACTTGTCGAATTGTACAGAGTTCAGAACCTGGTACATTGACTACAGCAGTGCCCAGGGAAACATTTCCAGTGGTAAATTATTTGGGAAAATTCCCTCTCCCCTACATTCCACCTCTTGACAAGAGCTGCCTAAAATGCTGTCTGGACAGCAGCCCACATCATGTGAACTTCCAAGAATCAACGCATCTAGAATGCATCTGACAAGCTCAGATCTGGTGTGTTATATCTCTTCCCTTTAAAAAAAAAAAAAAAAAAACCCTCACCTAAATATAGTTTGCTTCTAAAAACTGTCTCTAAATGATTGTGTTTTACCCTGGATAAGTTCTCCCCAGTGCATCCTGACGCTGGAGCATGAAAAGGAAGGTAAACGCGTGAAATCAAATGGTGATTGCTAACAATGAAATTTGGGCTCATAAATCAAGGATATTATTCAAAACTGTGAGGTAAATTAGCCTCATTCATTCTGATAGGGCTAGATAGACTCTATGGCTGTATGTGCCTTCTTTAATTAACATGCTGAAAAGATGTTCTGATTGGGATTATTAATGAATGCAGTGGAAATGTTTGCTGCTTAGAAGACTTCTGCCACAGACGGTTTACAAACCACCCCCTACCCCGCCTTTTTCTTTTTCCACAGATTCCTTACATGGCTTAACAGATGGAGTATTCATCTTTGAAGCTGTTTCCACAGAAGATAGCAAAACCATACAGGGCTATGATGCGATTGTGGTTGAACAATGGACAGTCCTGGAAGTAAGTGTGGGGTTGGCAGCCCTGCTTCTTTTGTTTAGACAGCAATTGTTTTATCCGCCTGCTCCATCTGACCGTGGGGCTGTTGCTCAGCTGTGGCTTTCTTCTGAGAGGGAGCTGACCTGGTAGGTCCTAGAAGGACCCCCTTAGTCCTTTCATTCCCCTCTTTTCCCACCTCCAGGTAGGGGTGGGCCCCGCTCTTCCCTTTCTGCAGGAAAAGCACATTGCGTGTGCCTGGCCATTTGGTGGAAGGAGACTTGTCGTTCATTAATTTGCATATAACTGACAACTCTAAGTGATATAAATGAGGCCACATAGTTTGTGGCCTCCGTAATAATCAGAGCAGCATCGTTGTCAGAGCCAGACCCTGTGGCTCCCTGTGCCAGCTATCCTTAGAGTTATGCACATGAGCTCACTTAATCTTCACAATAAGCCTTTTAAGTAAATACTGTTATTGCCCCTGTTATATAGATGAGGAAACCGAGGCACAGAGAGGTTAGGTCCCTGGTCCAAGATTACACATTAAATACTGAAGAATGTATTTGAGAAATGTTGACTCATGAGGCCACCAAATTGCTGTGGGCAGGGGAATTCCTCAAACCATGTTCTGCTGGGACTTTGGAGGAGCGAATTTACTCCTAAGATTCACTAGTGTGTACCTGAAGGGCATTTCTCTAACTATGGAAGCGTGACTTTTTAGCCTACTCTCTTGCATACACAGCATCTGGGATATAAAGGGGGAAGCTATTTGGACATAGAGAGCTGAATTCTTGGTTTTTTTGTTTGTTTGTTTGTTTGTTTGTTTTTTGAGATAGCTTCTTGCTCTGTCGCTCAGGCTGGAGTGCAGTGGCATGATCTTGGCTCACTGCAACCTCCGCCTCCCGGGTTCAAGCGATTCTCCTGCCTCAGCCTCCAGAGTAGCTGGGACTACAGGCACCCGCCACCACGCCCAGCTAATTTTTGTACTTTTAGTAAAGACAGGGTCTCACCATGTTGGCCAGGCTGGTCTCAAACTCTTGACCTCAAGTGATCTGCCTGCCTTGGCCTTTAGAAGTGCTGGGATTACACCGTGAGCCACCGTGCCCAGCCATGGGCATAGAGAACTGATTTCTGAACACCATGGAAGAACACAGGATCGGCATTGCTGGGAGGGCCTCTGCCAAACAGGGCTCTCCAGGCCGAGGGAAGACAGGGGTGGATACAACTCTCTGTGAGGAGTGTGGGGCGCTGAGACCCACTAGACAGCCAGTGCTTGCCACACCCTTGTGCCTGCCAGAACTGCAGGCTCGAGGCAGTCCCTTGCCTGGTTATTGAAGTGGAGATGGGATGGGGCGTGAGTTGGATGTCTCCCGGGACACTATGACTCAGCTTTGAAGCTGCAGCAGTTCCCAGCATGCGTGAAGTGAGGAGCAAGGCTGTTGGGGGGCATGCCTGCGTCTGAACAGGGATGAGAAATAACTGCTTGCAAGTGTGATAGTAATGGAGTACCTGAAGGAACTAGAGTCGTCAGAAGCAGGAGTTGGAAAGTCACAGCATCCGGGGCTGGTTAGCGAAGGGGCCAGAAGTCCTGAGGGAAGTAAGGAACCAGGTGATGACCTGGTGTGAGATCAGCTCCACCAGTCACTCCTGTGTGACCCTGGGGCCCATGGTCTCTCCAGGGTCCATGCTCCTAACTAGAAATGGGATGCAGAGGAAGTAAGGCTCAGTCCAAGATGCCAAGTGAGTGTGGGCAGGTCCTGTCACTTCTCAGGACCCTGTCCTTCCTCAGCTGTAGCTGGGCAGGTCACATGGCCCGTCACGTGTGGTGGAGTGAAGGCTCCAGGTGGTGGTGAAATATGAAATGCCAAGAGTTGGGGATCTGAAGGACTGAGCAGCCGGCATTCAGTTTGCTCTGTAACATTTGGCTGTTAACAGTAGCGATGCATGGCTGCACCCAAAACATGTGCCTGAGCCGAGTGATTGGCAGACCATGGGGATGTGTGTAAAATTCCTGCTGTCTGTATATTAAAATGGCTGTTAAGGGAGGGCTCTGTGGTTCCTCAAAAAAGATGACTTGATGGCAGTGATCCAAAATCATCTATAAAATGGTTCTTAAAAATTAGTGTGACTGCAGGACCAGTAGCATCAGCATCACGTGGGAAGTTGTTAGAAATGCAGATTCTTGGACCCCACTCCAGATCTGCTGAACCCTCTGGGGGTGGGGCCTGGCAGTCTGCATTTTAGCAAGCCCTGCAGGAGATTCTGAGGCTCACTCCATTTGAAGAACCAGGGTGGGTATAGATGCCACTCCCATGTTGGAACTGTACCCCACAAGGTGATGGATTTGAAAGGGGGGACCCTGGAAGTGATAAGGCTGGGAAGGCTCCGCCCTCATGGATGGGATGAATGCCCTTAGAAGAGAGGCTGCAGACCACTGCCTCCCCTTTTTGGCCTTCTACCTTTGATCATGCAAGGACACCTACAGGGCACTATCTGTGAGGAATGGGCCTTTGCCAGACATTGAACCTGTTGGTCAGTGTCAAGATGCCTGATCTTGGACTGCCAGCCTCCAGAAATGTGAGAAACAAGTTTCTGTTGTTTATAAATTACCCAGCCTGTCGTATATTGTCATAGGAGTAGGAATGGACTGAGACAGAAATTGGTACCAAGAAGTGGGGCTGTTGCTATAACAAATACTTGAAAGTGTAGAAATGACTTTGGAACTGGGTAATGGGTAGATGCTAGAAGAGTTTGGACATGCAGGCTAAAAAGAGCCTAGATTGCTGTGAATGGAGTGTTAGGGTGATTCTGTTGAGGGCTCAGAAGAAGAGGAGAGCTGTAGAGAGGGCCTCAGACTTCTCAGAAATTATCTAAGTGTCATGATCAGAATGTTGGTAGAAATATGGACAGTAAAGGTCATTCTGATGAGGTCTTAGATGGAAATGAGGAACAAGGTATTGGAAACTGGAGGAAAGGCCATCCTTGTTATAAAGTGGCAAAGAACTTGGCTAAATTGTGTTCGTGTCCTAGCGCTTTGTGGAAGGCAGAACCAATGAGGGATGAACTAGGGTATTTGGTGGAAGAAATCTCTAAGCAAAATATTCAGGGTGCAGTGTAGCTGTTCTTGGCTGCTGATAGTAAAATGCAGGAAGAGAGAAACCAACTGCAAATGGAGTTTGTAATCAGAAGGGAAGCAGAACTTAAAGATTTGGGAAATTCTCAGCCTGGCTTTGTTGTCAAAAATGAAAAAGTGTATTCAGAATAGAAAACTAAGGTTGGCTAAGCTACTGTTTGATAGGGAGATTGGTGCTGGTGGAAGGATGCCATATGCTATTCACCAAGACAATGAAAGAAAGACCTGAAGGCATTTCTGAGATCATCAAGGCTGCTGCTCCCATCAGAGGCCTGGAATGCCAACGCCTGGGGGACAGACCTGTGTCAAAGGAGGTGACTTGGGCATCCTCAGTATCTTCAGGCTCACTGCCCAGTGCTGTCTCAAGTTTCCGCTCCACGTGGTCAGGCTAACACAGCCTCTGAGATTGACATCTCCTGAAAGCAGATGGAGGAGAGATCTTGTGGGAAGACTGTACTCCTTGGTTTATGGGTTTCTCTTCCTCTTTGCAGCTGGTGGAAACAAGCTTCAGGAGTCAGCTCTGAGGTCACCTCCTGCAGGGTGAAAGAGCGCTCCTCTGTGTTCTCATAACTCTCTGGGCATGGCTCTATCACAGCTCCTGTTGTACTCCATCAGTGTTATTTATTTGTCCACTTTCCTCCCTCCACTGTGAGTTTCTTGGTCTGGGAATGTTCATCTTTGTTCTCCAAGGCACTCCAGTAAATGCTTGCTGATTGGGTTGAAGGCTTTTTGGTTCAGCCCAAGGTAGACTAGTGTTTCTCAAAATTGATCTCGTATCAGAATCACCTGGAGAGCTTTTAAAAACACAGCTATCCAGGCTCTACCCCTACTTCCTATTCAATGGGTGTCTTAGTCTGCTTGGGCTGCGTAACAAAATACCAGACTAGACAGATTAAACAACAGAAATTTCTTTCCTCTCAGTTCTGGAGGCTGAAAAGTCCAAGATCAAGGTTCTGTTGGGGTTTGGTTTCTGGTGAGGGCTCTCTTCCTGGCTTGCAGATGGCTGGCTTCTCACTGTATCCTCACATAGCTTTGCCTCTGAGCATGCACAGGTGGGAGGGGGCCACTCTGGTGTCTCTTCTTATAAGGACACTAATTCTGTTGGATCAGGGCCCCATACTTATGACTTCATTTAACCTTAATTACTTCTGTAGAGGCCCCATCTCCAAACACAGCCAAACTAGGGTTTGAAGCCTCAACATACACACTGTGGGAGGATATAAAATATTTAGTCTATAACGGTGGCTCTGAGATGGGGCCCAAGAATTTGCATTTTCTAAGACATTTTCAGATGAGCTGCTGCTGCTGGTGTGGGAACCCCACCTTGAGAATCCCTGTCTTAGGGGAACTAAGTATAGACAGCTCTGTAACCAGCACAGCCCAGCAATGTCCAGTCCAGGACAGGTTCACCCACAGCTCAGCTCTTTGAAGAGGCTCCGTTAGACCCTGACTTGGGCCTGCAGACAGCCCCTCTCCTGCCTGCCCATCTCTAAGGCTGAGGGTATTTTTCAAACTCTCATGTCTTCTACCCTCTACCAATTACTTCTTTTCCCCACCCTTTTGGCCTCTAGGAAAGATTTTTCCTTTTTAAGGCCTCAGCAGGTCCCTTTTGGCTTCTGGTTAACTGCTTTTCTGGTAACCACAGTCTTCCCAGGCAGGCCTATAATCTCTAGGGCTCTGACCACAAAATGTCCCTGACCAGTTCTTTCTCATGTCTCACAGTGGGGCCTGGTCTGTCCCTTTCCTGCTTCGTTACTCCTCCTGTGCTGATTCCTCAGCTCTGCGTAGATGTGCCATTCCGATTCCACCTTGTCTCGCTGGCTTCCCTCTCTCTTCACGCGCATGTACACATGCACACACGCACATGCACACACGAAAATGTAGTGTGCGGACGGTGCAACATATTGACAAGAGAGCAGTAATTCCAGAATCTGGCCTGAGTGTGCATCCTGCCTCTCTGATTCCCAGCTGAGTGATGGACTATGTGAAAAGCAAACCACCCCTGCTTTGTTTTTCTATTTTCAGTTGTATAAATGGGGATACTGGTAACGACCTCTCAAAGTTGATGAGAATTAAAAGAGAAAACATATTTAAAAGTTGTGAATGTAGAACGTGGCACATAGTAAGCCCTCATGACATACTGCTTTCTCGGTCAGTCACCTCGTATCATCATGAGACAGATCCTTCCCCCATTGCCTTTGTGGTATGCTAAAAGCACAGAGGCGGTTGGGCTAGGGTACCTGTAGAGTCAAATGCAAATAATTGCATTTTGCTCAGTTGGAAACCTACAGCCTAAAATTAAAGGCAGTTGTAAGATAAATGTGTATCCATAGGGCATTTATAACAGGTATTTTGTTGACTTTCTTTGAGTTTACAGTCTAGTGTGTGAGCAGAAAGGGTAATTCTTGGAAAGGAAAGGAAAAAACTACATAAGATGAATAGGTAAAGAGCAAGATGCAGACACAGAGACCTCTGCTTCCCTCTGAATCTGTGTATCTTTGAGCCTGACAGCCCATCAGAGCTTATAGACACCACCAGGTGCTACCTGAGCATAGAGACTCTTCCATGTTTATCCCTCTCCATGGAATATGTTCTAGAACATCAGTGCTTATCGTGAAATTTGGTGCCAGAATGGAACATAAGACAGTAGAAAAAGCACTTATAGCTGATGCAACTGGTATGGTGGTGGGTGGGTTAATTGAAAAAGTCAAAGAGACCCAAAGAAAATCAGATTCCTATCTTACACATTTTATTTGAATGTAAAGTATGTAAACACATGTCCATTTGCCAGTCTTTTTGAGTTGAGTGTCTGCTGAAGTAGAGTTCTGCCTCATCTTTCTCATATAAACCACACCCAAAGTGTGCTAACTACAATGTCCAGTATCAGTTTCTTTAAAGTATCAATGGAATCTGACTGCAGAATCCTTCTATGTTTTCATGATTTCTTTCTAGTCTTTCTAGTCCCCACGCCCAACACACATCTAATTCAGCCACAGTTGTTACTTTTTAGTGATTGTTCTTTGTTGAGTCTCTTCAAGGAATTCAACTTAGTTTTTTGAGAAACAACTTGTTTTTGCACTTATAGTTTATATGCTTTTAAATCATTTAAGACATGTAACTAGGAAAATGGGTCTAACTTATAGAAACACATACAGCTTACCCCTGACATGCTCAGTTGGTGAGGTCAGAAGGGCATGAGCATCCTAGAAAGCTGCTGCTGCCTGCGAGGACTTGACTTCTCTCAGGGTGGACTGGACTTCCGCGAGTACAGCTGCGGGGAGAATGGCTTAGGGCGTCATTACAGCCTCTGCAACCCCACAGACTTTGTCATGAGGCTCTGGAGTCAGCTCTTCTCCACTCTCTGCCTGCGTATTTAATCTTTTGTTAACTCCCATTTTATCTCATACCATTCGCTTCTGCCCATTTCCCCAGCCTGTCAAGACATTTCTGATCATGGTTATATCATCCTTCATTCTGGGGATCTTCCAGCCTTGGCTTCCCTGAAGGCTTCATATGTATGGTGGCTCCTGGCTGGTCTCAATGGCAAACAGACTGGATCAAGGACACAGTCCTTGGCAGGCTATAAGAATCTCTCCACCAGTGCCTGACACTAACCCAAACCATTCTGCAGTGGATTCAGGTGGCCCTGTTGTTCCACCTTCCGTTCCTCTCTTGTATTTACATGAAAGGCTTGATGAGATGCTTTTCTGTAACTGAAACCTACTCTGTCCTGTAACCCTGTCTCATAATCCTGTGTAACAACACATTAGGTCTCACTTGGTCTTCATGAAGTTCTGCAGGTTTCTGGGGCTCAAGCTTTTGTTTTCAAAGGCTCCCAACCATCTCTTTAAGAATCCACTCTAGGATTTGCCAGGGAGTAACATCAATTTCTATGGTTTCTAGAATTCACAGGGGAGCCAATATTTGTTCTTTTTAAACCATCTGGTTTTTTTCTTTTATTGCCACAGTTTCTCCAAGATAATTATTTTGGTTCTGAGATCATAGTCTTTAGTGCCAAAGACAGCAGTTCTCTGCCTTTTTCCTGTGATAGGGATGATTTTCCTGCAAATAATCACTCCCATGAAAGGCCCAGGAATCAACACCCAAACCCCTCCCAGGCTGCATCTCCATCCTTTCCCACCGCAAAGCGAATCATAGCACAGGTGAGTGCTATGGAGGTCAGAATAGCCTCAGCTCTATTTTAGCAGCTCTTTCAGTACTTTGACTTCTATCAAATTCGTGTGTGCCACTCACCTTGACAGTTACACACCTGTTTACAGAATAGTATGTATGGATGACTGCCTTTTCCTTAAAAAAAAAAAAAAAAAAGTGATTCATCTCAGCTTGAGCTCATTTAAAATTTTCAAGTTTGCTTCAGAGGGCATACTGCTAACATCTGCTAACAATTTGAAATGCCCACTCCCATCCATGACTCAGCAATTTCATACTTCACGTCCATCTCTTCTAAAGAAACAAATGCATGCGTTCACAAGAAGGCACAGACAAGGCTATTATCTCAGCATTATTTGTAATATCAAAAAAGGTAACAATATTCATGTCCATCAGTAGGGGAATGGTTAAACAAAAGATAATATATTCTTATTATAGATTAGGTCATTCTGTATAAGCTGACATGGAAGGAATTGCAGGAAATGTTAAACAAGAAAACTAAGTTGCAGAATTATCCTGTGATGGTTAATTTTATGTCAACTTTGCTGGGCTATGGTACTCAGTTACTTGATCAAACACCAATCTAGATGTTGCTATAAAAGTATTTTGAGATGCGATTACCATTCGTCTCAGTAGAAGAGTAAAGCACACTACCCTTCATAATGTGAGTGGACCTTATCCAATCAGCTGAAGGCCTTAAGAAAAAATATTGAGATCCCAGAAGAAGGAATTCAGCCTCCAGACTCAAAACTGCAACATCGACTCCTGCTGGAATTTCCAGCCTGCTGGGCTACCCTGCAGACTTTGGATTTTACATCCCCCACAGTCATGTAAGCCAGTTCCTCAAAATGAATCCTTCTAGATACAAGATAGCCTACTGATTCTCTTTCTCAGGAGAATCCTGATGAACACAGATATAAATGCTGTGATGCCATTAATGGGGAGAAAACTTCACAGAGTCTCTTAGACTTTAGCCATATTTGTCTCCTTGTAGAAAAGAAAGTAAAATAGGAGTTGAATAATCCCATTTTTATTGTCTTGAACATACTCTTCTTGTGCAACTTCTTGCTTTCAGCATGATTTTAAACGGCGTGTGTGTATACGTGTGCACACACGCACATATGTAATTCACATATCTCATCTCATTCTAGGCTGAGGTGCATATGTGTATACCTCACGCCACCTGCACACCTCAGCTCATTCCAGGCACAACATTCCTCCTCTTTTGGGTTTGCCTCATTTCTGTCACCATCCCTGGAGGCTCAGGTACCCCCTTCTGTCCTTGTAAATTCACACTCATCTATCTCCACAGCGACAGTGGTTTTCCTTAGTTGCCTCCAACTTTTATTTTAGGGTGACATGTCCACCTGGAGCCAGCGGGCCTGTGAGCATTTCTTGTCATGGGGCCATATTAAACTTTCCCCTGAGCCTCTGAAATTCTTTCTTCTTGTCTCTGGAGAGGGCCTCTAGTACTCTTCTGCTATTAGGAACTTCACAGAGAAAAGCTTAGTTTGTACAGTTTGTGTTGCCCAGGTAAGTCATTTGCCTTCCCATAATGATGGGGAAGAGATTACATTTAGAAATAGTGACCCCAAAAGGTCATGATCTGATTATTGAGTCCTGACTTCTGATCTGAAGCTTTGACCCTGTCCTCGGATACTGGAGCCTGGGATGGCTGTCTGTCCCTCTTTTATCTCTTTTAGCCATTATTTTCCCTCTGCCTCCTCCTTGGCAGCAGCCACTTGCTTGGGCGTTCTGAAATGTATGTGGATTGTGGCAGTGGCAGGACACAGAGATGATGGGCTATTGGACCAAAACCAGCCCTCCTGCTCCCCCATGGGGCAGGTGGGCTAGACTAATCCATGAAAGAATACATAAGAATGAAAACCATTTGAGATGGTGGAGATTAGAGGTTCCATAACAGAACTCTCAGGGAACTGGGAAACTCCATAGGCTCAAAGAGAATGACTGCTCTTTGATGCCCAGGAACAAGGATGCAAAGGGGCGTTTGCTGACGCCCCACACATCAAGGAGCCTCGGGAAGAAGAGCCTACAAAGGAAACAGGAAGGCATTCAAGGCTAATTGTGCCCTGCTGACCAGAAGTGCCCTGGGAGAGAGCAGAGACTGAGCAAGGCCTCCTGGACACACTGGGCTCCAGCTGGGTATTGGCAGTCAAGTCAGGACTTGAATGGGCTAAGGGATTGAGTGTGGGGGCTCCCTGCTGTGGGAAGTGACAGGAGCAGAGGCCAGCTGGAAGAGAAGGCACATCTATTAATTTTTTTTATAATTAGAACACATAATGGATAATGTGGGTGAGCTCCCAGATGCCTCTGATAATGGATAATGTTGGTGATCTAGATGCCTCAGCTCCCTTTTTACCATCGTGCTTTCACTTCAAGCAGGCAGCACTTGTGCCTCTTAGCAGAGCCCTGCCCCTGAGCTCCAGGAGCCTGCCCTGCTTTAAGCAACAAGAGCCACAAGTGCCCTGAGGCGGTCCTCGTCAATGACAGAGGAGTGTGGGTGTACGAAAGCTCTGCTCCCTGGCCTCAGAGGGGGACAACTCTGAGCGTAACTCACCCCTCAGAGCTCCCCACAGGATCAGACTAAGCCACTGGTCACGGGATGTCCTTAAAACTGCGTCCTTCCTGGGCCGCTGCTACTGTGTTGTCCGACTTCCCCCACTCCCTCACTGGCAGCACATCCTTAATAAGTTACTTGCACATGAATACTTGTCTTAGTGTCTGCTTCTAGGGAACCTGGCCTAAGAGCATGTGTAAAAACAATTCCATTCAGGAATATTACATTGCAAATTGAGATAAAAGTTACTGGAGGTTTTATAGTAATTTTAAACAAAATGCTGACAGTGCAAATGTGTATATAGTAAAGACTGAATCCTCCTCTCTCCTCGGACCCTCACTTCCCTAGTTTCCCTTTCACAGAGAACGCTCCTTCCAGAGAGGAGGTGATATACACACAGAGGTGGGTGTGCACGCAGAGCTGGGTGTGCATCTGTATAACGGAGAGGCAGAGGGAGATTTTACACACATAGAGGAGAAGGCCGAGTAGAGAGTTGAAAATGCTTTGAAGATTAGAGTAATGAGGCCACAAGACAAGGAATGCCAGCAGCCACTAGCGCCGGAAAAAAACAAGCGGATTCTCCCCCTGGCCTCCAAAAGGAGCAGGGGCCTGTTATAACCTTGATTTTTGACCCAGTGATCCTGATTGTGAACTTCTGACTTCCAGAACTGTGAGAAATTTCTATTGTTGTAATCCATCAATTTTGTGGTCATTTATTATAGCCACCCTAGGAAATGGATATAACATGCATGGATGTCTCTCCAGGGTCACCCTGTAGGGAGTCCTTGACAGTATGTTTGCATGTGAAGAGTCTGGGGAAGACTTTGTGGTTGAGGCAAGGGCCTGGACTTCTTGCAATGGGTTGAAAGGAGCCATAGTGGGATTTTCATCAGAGAGCTGTACATTGGGACAACTGGCCCTGGAGAAAGGGCCAGAAAGGTGGATAGAGCAACAGAAGCCCAGGGAAATAGAATAAGGGTGGTGGTCATGGGTATCAGTTAGGTTGCTTTCCACTGTTCATAGCAGGAAATCCGACTAAAAGTGGCTTAAGCCGTAGGGGTGTTCATCTCATCTCACTGAGCAGGAAGTCTAGAGCAAGATGGGGAGGTTGCAGAGTCAGCTTTTTCAATGGCTTAAAGATGCCACCAGGGTCCCAGGTGCTGCCATCTTTCTGTACTCATCCTCAGCCTGTCTGCGGGCCTCTCCTCATGATCCTCACAAGGTGACTGTGGCAAATCTAGGTGTCTCATGCAAATATGATGACAATGGTGAACAGGAGCAGTTTTTTCCTGCCACATGTCCCTTTTTATTAGCAAGTAAAACCTTTCCCAGAAACCCCCAACAGATTTCCTCAGGTCTCATTGGCCAGGGTTGAGTCACAGACCCATGCCACTTGTCAAGAGTCATGCTTGTCCAGGCCTGGGGGGTGTCAGTGAGGAAGGAGGCCTGGGCCATCGAGGGGCTGTTGGCTTTGGCAGCCAACAGAATGTGCCACTGAGGGGGACTAGCAAGGCAGGATGCTCCTAGAGGTATTTTCAAGACTGGACTTGTTGACGGTCTGGATAATGAGATGACAAACGGAAGTGTTTGACCTTTAATCTTTATCTGCACTTTTTTCTTCCATAAACTCAATTGTCCTATTTTCTCAGACATCCATATTTCACTTCATATACAACATTTAGTGATACAAGTAAGATATACCTTTTTAAAAATTTATCCAACAAATAAATATTGAGTTCCTACTGTGTGTCAGCCACTGTGACAGCATGATGAATGGATGAAATTCAGGCAGGCAGGATTGATTCCATTTAGTCAAGGGAAGAAGTGTAGTCATTAAAAATGAATGCCCACCCCCTGGCCTTTCCACATTCATCAATAATTCCTCTTCATTGTCAAGCTTCCTGAGGGGTGCTGGAAGACCTTAAATCACAGAAACCTTTTAAATCTGACGAGGGGAGAGGCAAGTATGCCATTCTGGTGAAGATCATGGGGCAAAGTGAATTTCGATTCTTGCTGCAGAGGAAGAAAGGATGAAACAAATGATCACATTTTCAAAATCCTGTGACAAATGCGGTTTAAAATATTCAAGGTACACCACAGAACGACAAGAAATAAGTGTATTAGGGTTCTCCAGTAAAAAAAAGAACCAGTAGGAGATTATGCACACACACACAAAGACACAAAGAGATTTATTATAAGGTTTTGGCTCATGTGATTATGGAGACTGAGGAGTCCCACAGTCTGCTGTCTGCAAGCTGGAGACCGAGGAAAGCCAGTGGTATAGTTCAGAGGCCTGAGAACTGGCAGCTGATGGTGCGGATTCCAGTCCAGGTCCCAAGCCCTGAGAACCAGGAGCAACAAGGGCAGAAGATGGACATTCCTGTTCAAGCAGTCAGGCAGTGTTAATTCAGCCTTCCTCCACCCTTTTGTTCTGTTCAGGTCCTCAATGACTGGATGATGTTCACGCACATTGGGGAGGGCCATCTGGTCTACTCAGTTGGCCCATTCAAATGCTAATCTTTTCCAGAAACACCCTCACAACATGCCCAGAAATAATGTTTATGCATCCTGTGGCAAGTTAAGGGCTCAATGTGATAACAAGGGCTATATCTTTAGGTTTTCCCAATGTGTTTGAGATAAAAGGGTTGGAGATAATTCTATCAGAGCTTTAAACACACACACACACACACACACACACACACACACACACACACACCCCCACCCTACTTATTATCTTACAGTTTCTGGGCCAGAAATCCAGGTGAGTGAACTGGATCCTCTGCTGCTTAGGGTCTCAAAAGGCTGAAATTGGATGTCAGTAGAGCTGTGTTCCTTATTAGAGGCTTTGGTGGGGAAGAATCCACTTCCAAGTTCATTTAGGTTGTTGGCCTTGTGGTTGCAGGTCTGAGGTCCTTGTTTTCTTGCAGCAGTTATCCAGGAGCTGCTCTTTGCTCCTAGGGGCTGCCCCCATTTCTTATGCTTTCCATGTAGCCCCCTAAAAGAGCTTTTCAGATGCATGAGAGCCACAGATGAAGAGAGGGCAAATGGTTCTCCAGAGACAACTGAAGTATATTAAATCAGTGAGCATAAAAGGTTGGAGGGTGTTCTTGTAGTTATGTGTTCACTCATCACCACTCCTTGAAATATGTTCTCTGAAATTTGCCTGGCCAAGGCTTTTAATACAGCTAAATAAAAAGGAAGGGCCTATGGGTGGTGTATAACTGGTTGAGAGGCCGTACTTGGCAATGATGTGCTTTCACTGGGAGGAGGTCTTTCTTCATGGGCTTTCTGATGCCTTGTCCTGTTTCACATCTTTTTCAGGGGCTTGTGTAGGGATCTAGAAGGTGGTGGACCCGAAGAGACCTGATTCTGGGAGGCCACAGAATATCTTGGGTGGCCCTCGGGATCTAAAGAACATGGATGCTCTTGGGCTCCACAAAAGCATTCCAGTTGGGCAAAGGGGAAGAAAGCCAGGTCATGTCTGAGAGTGGGGAAGACTCTGAAGCACCCACCCATGCCAGGGTCAACCAGAGCTGCTTGTTCTAAATGTATCTGTTTTTACATGTTGTTTCTAAATCAGATTATAGTTGATGCTTAAAGGAAGCATCCTACTAATAAAAAAAAAAAAAAAGAAAAGAAAAGAAACAAAACAACCTTGAAAATTACTGATCTAATCCATTTCCTTTTTTGAGTAGGTTTTCCAGACTTCTTAAACCCCTCCAATCTCTTACCTCTTAGTATATGAATATTGGACTAAAAACCAGTTCAATAAATGTAATAGGAATACATTTAAGTATCAACAAATTGCATTTAAGCTCAAAAAAGTCAATAATATAGAATGGCGAATACCTGATTTGACAATAATTCCAAAGAAAAAGAGTTAATACAGGCCAAGGATGTCTCTACTGCTTCCCTCCAAGTGCTCTGGGCTGTGACCCAGTGAACATTTCCAGATCACAGCCCATGTTTCTTTGGGCTCACTCTCTGCTGAGACCCTGTTCCACCTCCGATCTTCACTTTTGAGGCAGTTGCTCGCCCTTTCCAGCCCAACCGTAATGCCACCAGCTTTGTGGGGCCATCTATAAGACTATCAGCGGGCTTTGCTCTCCCTTCCTTTTTAAACAACCACGTTTCACCTTACCTAGGAATTACTGAAGTTACCAAATTGCTATGCAAAGTCCTTGAGTCAGGGACCAGCCATTCCTTATATTCATGGTTTCTGGATCCAAATTAGTTCCTTTTGTGTTGCAGTTTTTTTTTTTTTTTTTTTTTTTTTTTTAAACATTGATTGAATAAATAATTGGATGAGGTTAGCACTGCTTAGAAAAGATATCTTTGACCAAATTTATGAAAACACATGCATGAAGGACTTCTCCCTCTTTTCTTCAGTCTACTGCTGGCTGACTTGGAGTCTTAGGTTCCACCATGACCACCATATTGATGAGAAACATAGACTCTAGGGTACAGGTGAGAGTGACAGCGACGGGGGAGACACCTGGAAATGGTGGGAAACAACTGGACATGTTTATCTTGGAGGAGGAAAAAACAAGGGCAATCAGGTAGCTGGCTTCCTCATATCTTTGAAGGGCTGACTTACGAGAAAGGAAGTAGACTGTTTTTGTTGGTTGTAAGGGAAAAACTAGGTCTAATTGGAGAGTGTATGTGGAACTCTTCAGCAGAGGAAGTGGCTGGGGCCTAGGATTGTCAACTCCCAGATGCTGGTGTGACTCGGATGTTCCATTACCACTAATTAGGAGGGATGTTTTAGGCAGGAAGGACTAGCGCAGTGGTTCCCAAACCTTGGTAGTCCTCAGAATCACCTGAGGACTTATTAAAAATTCACATTCTGGCTGGCTAGCTCATGCCTGTAATCCCAGCTCTTTGGGAGGCTGAAGTGGGAGGATCGTTTAAGCCCAGGAGTTCAAGACCAGCCTGGGCAACATAGTGAGACCTTGTCTCTCTACATTAAAAAAATAAAAATTAGCTGGGCATGGTGGTGTGTGCCTGTATTCCCAGCTACTCAGAGGGGCTGTAGTGGGAGGCTCACTGGAGCCTGGGAGTTTGAGGCTGCAGTGAGCTAAGATCATGCCATTACACTCCAGCCTGGGTGACAGAGCAAGATTCTGTCTCAAAAAAATAACAAAAAACACTTTGGGAGGCCGAGGCAGGCAGATCACGAGGTCAGGAGATCGAGACCATCCTGGCTAACACAGTGAAACCCCGTCTCTACCAAAAATACAAAAGATTAGCCCACCGTGGTGGCGGGTGCCTGTAGTCCCAGCTACACGGGAGGCTGAGGCAGGAGAATGGTGTGAACCTGGGAGGCGGAGCTTGCAGTGAGCCGAGATTGCTCCACTGCACTCCAGCCAGGGGACAGAGCGAGACTCCATCTCAAAAAAAAAAAAAATTAATTAAATAAATAAATAAATAAATAAATATGCATTCGCAAGTCACTCTGCCTCCCTGGAAACTCAAAGTCAGAAGGTCTGGCGGGTGGGATTAGGGATCTGCATGTAAAAACATTCAGCCAGGCCCAGCAGCCACTGGACTAGAGGTCCACCCTGACCCCTTCCAGCTTGAATAAGCTGGGCATGCATGTTGACATGCTGCTTTTAAATCAGTGGCCTCTTTAAACATCCTTTTGGGGTGAAGTGGCAAATTGTGCTTGGCAAATTAGACTTAAGGATTGAGAACTAGTCTAGTGAGGGCAAGAGGCCTCTGCTTTCATTCTTATAACTTTTTTCTTTTTATAAAAGTGATCCATGGACACTTTCTCAAAATGTTAAACATAGTTACCATATGACCCAGCAATTCTACCCCTGTATTTAAGAGAAGTGAAAACATATGTCCATATAAAGACCTATGTACATTAATGTTGATGGCAGCTTTATTTGTAATGTCCAAAAAAGTAGAAACAATTTAAATGTTCATCAAATGATGGATAAACTATGGTATATCTGTATAATGGAATATTATTTGGCAATAAAAAGGAGTAAAGATATATGCTACATGTATGAACCTTGAACATATGCTAAAGTGAAAGAAGCCAGTTGCAAAAGACCACATATTATATGAATCCATTTATATGAAATATCCAGATTAGGCAAGTGCATAGAGACAAAAAGTGGACTTGTGGTTGCCTAGGGGTGGGTGGGGGAAGAGGGGACTGACTGCTAATAGGTACAGGGTATTGGTGTGGGGAGTGATGAAAGTAGTCTAAACTTAGATTGTGGTGATGGTTGTACAACTCTGAATATATTATAAACCACTGAATTGTTGGCTTTAAATAGATGCATTTTAAGATACTTCAATTGTATATCAATAAAGATGTTGAAAAAAGTGACACGTGGTCATTAAAGATAATTTAGAAAATACAGGTAAAGAAAAGAAAGCAAAATAAACCCCAACTTTCAGCATCACTGGAAGATAGCTGCATAACATCTTAGGATAATCCTTCCTGTGTATATTCTGTCTATATTTGCATATTTTTTACAAAAATGATATCATACTCTTCATACTGTTATACATTTGGGTATGTAACTGTATCCTGAAAACGTTCCTGTTATTAGGCTTTTACTTCATTATTTTTAATGGCCATAGAGTACTTCAATCTATGAACAATTTTATTTTAATTTATTTAATTAGTTTTCCATTGGTGGGTTTTTGCTGACTTCAATTTTCTTGCTCTTATAAACCATTAATATTCTTTAGCAATATCACTGTAATTCATGTCAGTTTTGATTCAAGGTCCTTACTGTTTTTAGAAAAATAAACTTTCTATTTTAGAGTAGTTTTAGGTTCATACCAAAACTGAACTGAAACCACAGAGTTCCCATACAGTATGTAGCCTTTCCAATTGGCTTCTTTCACTTAGTAATATGGATTTAAGGCTCCTCCAATCTCGAGAGCTCATTTCTTTTTAGTGCTGGATAATATTTCATTGTATGGTTCTACTGCAGTTTCTCTATCAGTTACTGAAGGGCATCTTGGTTGCTTCCAAGTTTTAGCAATTA